TTTGTACATGAAGCTGTGCAGAACTAGTCTGTTACTAGATTGTTATTAAAGAATATGGCGTGTCTCATCCCATTTGTAAGTAAAGTAGCCCAACTATGAATACAATCCTGTTTAACATTTCCTTTTGTAACTTTTCCTCTCATTTTCTATCGTTTTCCTTTTCACCAAACACCATCTAAGCTTATACCACCAAAGTTTAACAAGTATGATCGTTGCGTTACCTTTTGTCTTACGATGGGAGAGTCAATAGCCTCATAACCATCGGAGTGACTAACCAACTTTTTTTTAACTTTATTTTACTTTAAAACGACTATTTAAATAATCATTTCATAAGAAAAAAACATCCATAAAAATATAAAATATTATTTACACTGGGTAGTTCTCAAAATAAATATTTACATACAAAAGTAACTACAGACTAAGGGTTGTTTGTTTGGCTCTGAATGGAACCATTCAGCGCTGAATGTTGAACCGTTCAACATTCAACGCGTTTGTTTCTCACCTCTGAATGATTTAGTGCTGAGTGATTCAGCAAAACAGTGCTGAATGATTCAGCATCAAAGTACATTCTGAATGATTCAGCATCAAAGTACATTCTGAATGATTCAGAGCCATTATTAAACAACATGTCATATTCAAAGCTAATTCATACAGAGCCTCCGAATCATTCAGCATTTGAATCATTCAGCGCTTAATCATTCTGAAGTAAACAAACAACCCCTAACTCTTGACTGAATCTACGACTCAACTTTATATCAAAGTTTATAAAAATACATGCCCTTCAAAAATGCTGAGACGTACTCTGATCTACTCTGGTCTGGACCTCGATCTCTCTAGGTCTTTTTGAAAGCGCCACCTAATCTACATAAGGAAACAAATTCTAAACGCTGCTAACAACTAAATCATACTAATTGTACATCATTGAAAGGCTCAAGCTATCAAGTCTACTGCTTTGCTTTAGTGAGTATACTTGTACACTCATTCTCTACTCTATGGTAGACATCATGGTGCGGCTGAGGGTTCTGCATCTTAGAGCTCACACACCCCTCTAGTCTACCGAGGATGGCCCCCCTGAAATCTCTGCATCGGACACCACACCTTCGACTAACCCACTCCTTGTGAGTGTCAGGCCTTAGCCTTAGTTAGTCAGCTTAAAGTGCCTTACGCACTACCTAAGGATATATCCGGGCTGAATCTATACTTTCGACTCTGCTAACTTTTCTAAAGGATCTCGAGTGTCCTAATCGTTTCCCGAGCATCCAAGCAAGGCTGGTCTTATTTGGTCTTAATTATTCTCGTTTCTACGTTTGAATTAATCATTATTATTGTTCTCACTTGTAGTCTTATTTGGGAGTAATTATAAGCTTTTGAGAAACCTCACATGATTCTATAATTCCCCTTGAATTAAAGCTCAATTCTTAACCTTGGTATTGATATTGACCTTACAGTATCGATACCTTCTCCTCAGTATTGATACCCATCCCAAGGTATCGATACCCCAACTGAAACGCCTTAAAAGAAAGAGGGAGTATCAATACTCATATGTGAGAATCGATACTGGGACCTTGAGTATCGATACTCCCTAAAGTACCGATACAAAAATAGCCTACTACCAAGCCCTTCGGTCTCGATACCGAACCCTCAGTATCGATACTCCTATAAGGGTATCGATATTGTTCTTCAAAAACTCTCGATTTTAAGCTTGAAACATGAACAATATCGATATTGCTTCTTATAGTATGGATTCTCGCCCTAAAACATGCCTTATTTCTTCACGAATTTGCCACCCAAACTCCCTATTTTTCCTATTTTAAGGTTTCCCAATGTGTTATTAAGTATTATTTGATCTTAGGGGTCATAAATAAGGCTTTATAACATGCTAAAATAATTTTAATAGAAATCTACCATGAAAATCTACTCAACATGCTTTAATGTTAACTTTCTAGGTAAAACTCATTTCTAATGATCCACAACTGGTATAAGGAAGCTATGAGCATGTTACCTTGTTTTCTTGGCTGATAAACTCCTCTCGAATCTTCTAGGATTCACTTTCTCTTTACCTTTAACCTTTGAACTTTCTCCTACCTCTTTAGCTAATCAAATACAAGAAAAAGGGTTTACTAACTTATATAAGGCTTAAAACAAGATTAAGATACTACAAACAACTCAAATTTACTGAAATAAACTTGAACCCTTTAAATTTATTAACTTTTCTAAAAGCTCGTTTTTGGAAATCTTAACCAAAACTTGAGATTAAGGGCCCTAAATGAAGCTTAAGGGATGAAGATTATGATTCTTATCTTGGTTTCTTCAAACTAGGCAATGTTAAAGCTTTCACCTTTCTACTTTCTCTTTGGGAGGGAAAAAGAGAGAAAAAAGAAGACGAGTGGATGAAGGTTTTGGTGGCTTTGATTCATGTGCAAAACACGTAAGGGGTTTTTATGCTTTAAAACCAATAATGAGAAACTACAATTTTAGTCCGTCACCTTTAACTCTTATTTAAAACCACCACTAACTTTAACTCTTGGCCAACCTAGGCCAACCTAAGCCAACACTCAAAAACTGGTCTAAACTGGTTTAGAAGATCTAATGGGCTCAACTCATGAGTCTCGAGTTGACCCGAACTACTAACCTGGAATTCGGGGTATTACATAACATGACGAGAAAGAAGCTGTTAGATTAGCCAAGATGGCTTCCAGGCATCCTTAAAACCAGCACCAGTTTCTTCATGGTTTTTAACATAACGTTTTTGAAGCTCTTCGAAAGATGCAGGCAAGTCATCCTTGGCTACAAAACACGATTCTTTTCTTCATGTAAGACCTCTCTCCTTCTCGGTTCTGTGATCTGAGGGGGAACACTAATGTTCTAGTATTTATAGATTTTTAAAAGGAAAACTGTAGTTGTCACTACTAATTAGCATCTGACTTTTACATCTTGAAGCTGACGATGCTATGGATTACATTCTGGTCAGTCTTGAATGAAGAATCCTTATTTAAAGGGAAACCGTTCTTTGTTGAACTCTATTAATAACAAAAAGGATCGAATTAGAAGAACTCGGTGAAAAAGCAAACATCTTTTAATCAAAAGATTTGACTTTTTATTCTTTTTAATTTGATGGATATTGGGGGAATACAAAAAGAAAGGTTGATAGTGCACAAATCGATAAATCCACAACTTGCATTACAAAAGTACGTTCCAATGCAATAATATGTCCGTCTTGCTGCTCATGGTGCTGCAGTTGCTGTCCCTGCACATGATCTTAGGCATTACAGGAACTTAACAACAGAAAAAGTAGAAAAGGGTCATCTTTTTATCCAAAATAATTTAAGCACCTAAACCTAAATATATTGGTTCAGGTACCACGTTTTTAATTAAGAACACTTTCCCTAGGTAAATTATTAAAAATGGATTTTTGCATACAAACTTCTATAAGTAATTTAGCTGCAGCTTATCTGCATACAAATATAAAAGAGTATAAATATAGCTGGAATAATTTAATATCAAAATTACTAAAACATATATTAATTATTTGAATATATAATCCTTCGGCATACATACGAGGCTTGAAACAGTAGAAAATATAACCTGTAATGAGCAGATTTCACTGAATAGGTTAAAGATCATCTAATAATTCATGGCATCTACAACTCAATAATTTTATACTATAAAATAAATGCAAATCTCACAGGAGATTCTTCTCTTTTAGGCTATACATCATAACAATGTAATATCCATCAAATACGAGATTAATTCGAATCTTGGTATCAATTATAACTGCTCATGTGTATCAGATTATAATCTGTCTTGTAAAAAAAGATTGAAATAGATGAATGACGAAGAAGAAAAGGACTAGCATGAGAGAAAAGAACCTGTTAGATTAGCCAAGGTGACTGCCTGGCAACGTCAAGACGAGCTTCTTCTGCTTCGTGAATTTTTTTACAGAATCTGAAGCTCTTTGAGAGATGCAGGCAAGTCATCCTTGGCTACCAAACACGATTCTCTTCTTCATGTAAGCCCTCTCTCCTTCTCAGATTTGTGCACCGATGGAGAAGCCGAGGCTTGGTATTTATAGATTTTTAAAGGTAACTGCATCTGTCGCTGTTAATTAGCATCCAATTTTAGATCATGTAGTTGTCCACATAAAAGGAACATGTTCTGGTCAACTTTTGAATGGTGAACTCTTAACGGATGGATAATGTGTTTTTTTGGAAGGTAATCTTTGATGAAATCTATCAATAATAACAATAAAAAACAGGATCAAACATCTTTTGATCAAATCAATCATTGTAAAAAAGAAAAAAAAAACTTTTATTTGGCGACTGGAACAAGGGTTTGATAGTGCACAAGTTGAGCACTCATCGACTACCTTTACAAAGATGGAATTACAGTCCAATATCTCTGCCTTTCCATTTTTGTCTACCCTTTTAATTGAATCCTTGTTGGAATATATTCTTGTTTCCTTCGAAGTAAAGCTGAAAATCTTGCAGAACCAACTATGAAAGTAAAAGAGAACATTGCTGATTACATATGTGCTCACTTGCCATCTCTTTTCTCCTTTTTGGGTTGATATTCTTTTTATGCTTCATTCTTTTCTTCTAATGTAACCGAGTTTGATACCAATGCTCGAAGCATTATACATAACTGTATCCGACTATCCGGTATTCTTGTTATGCTCTGTTCTTTCTTAATATCAATATTCGACACATTATGCATAACTATATCCGACACTCACCAAATTCATTGTTTTCGTTTGTCCGAATATTTTGACTGATCTTATCGAAATTAATCTTACAAATGAGATCAAAAAAATTATTTAAGGTTGTAAGGGAAAACTGATTCAAATGAAGCTCACAGTTGAACCATTTAATTCTTTTTTGGTTTTGGAAAATTTAGGAACTCAGACCTTCGATACTGCAAGATGAGAAGGAAAATTAGGAAAATAAATATAACCAAGAAAATTACAGGAAGACTGGTAACAATTTGATAATTTCTCCATAAACGAAGCTAAGAAAATGTAAATAATTTAGTTTCAAAGGTTAAATTGATGGGAAAAGCTTGTTGAGGCTGCAGGGTAGTGCATAGAATTCTTCATTCCTAACATCTGATTTATATAAGCTAAACCTTTCCCACCAATTCAACCCAATGTCCTTTCTGGTTTCATCATTTTCTCGAGAAAGTGTCAGATCAAAGAATAAAGCTATCAGCGCAGCAACTGTTGTATGTGACATGAAGATCACAAGGATTATGTCACTGAACTGCAACTCATAAGGGAAAGAAATTGTTAGGCTTCAAATAAAGGGAAAGTGAACTGAGTCACATATGCAAGTAAATTAAGAGTTGAACCAGGTTTTTCCAGGGATCATACCAAGCCAATATGATGAGGTGATCTCCAACCACCATGAAAATATTCTCTGAAGTACTGTGGAACTGATAAACCCATGAAGAAGGAGAAGCCTAATATGAACTTTGTTTTGAAACTATTCAGGTTACAGAATTGGAGAAAGCTAAGACCAGCAGAAGAGACATAGCTGAAGAGAACGCAGTATAAAGCTGCCACAATTGGTAATGGTATAGAAGCGAAAATGGCTCCGAATTTTGCTGAAAAAGATCAAAAGATAGCAATAAGTTAGTGATCCTTAAAAGACTAGAAAAAACTGATAGTGATGCATCAATGGAAGAAATAAAGATACAGACAAGTGCTTAAAGCTCTTATTTTTTACATTGTATGCACATCCATATTATATAGATTAATGTAATTTTGAAATTAAATGAAATGGGAAATAGCTATTGGGTTTTTGGTTGGAAGAGAAAATGGAGGACAGGAAAAATATGAGCTAAAAAGGCTATTTTCCCTTCCCTGCGAGGAAAAATGAGAGGAAGCAGGGACAGAAGGATGGAACACTTTCCTTCCATTTTCTCTCCCATCAAACACTGCGCTAATGTTGAGCTGCTGGCTTACCAAATATGGAGAAGAAAATCATGAATCCAGCTGATATTTGAATTACTCTGCGGCTTCCAACTCTTGTCAACGCCAGCAGGCCTACGTTTTCACTGTTGAAGAGCAAAGTCTAGTGGTCAACCTAACAGATATCCATGTAATGAACCAAATTTCAATGATGTTAAATGGCTAAGTTTCAAGTTTACACTGATGCAGTTGTGCCTGTGACAGAACCAAGAAAACCATTGAGCAAAACCCCAATTCCCTGAAAAAGAAAAAAAATAAGGGGAAATTGCATTAAATGTTCAAAACAGGAAAAGTCTAGTTGGATTCTGTAACAGCTCGGGTTTCAGGAGGATTCTGTCGCACACAACTTTCCCTTAATTGTCCTCCGAAAATATGCCTGCCGTGGCAAGGACGCGGGAGACCTTTTTCGCAATACAAGTACTTTGGTGACAAGGCCGAGCAGAACCGATAGGTACTCGAAGAGAACAATACGTTTGATATAAGAGCATGAGGGGCGACGGCTAAATCGCTCTGCATAGGACAATGTGGGGAAGATGTCCTGGAACCCGAGACGTCACAGACTTAGATATCAAAGAAACAATTCCTACCAGCCATCCAGCACCACGGCTAATAACAGAAGGTGGAACGGGTGTAGCACTTCCATATCTTGCAGCTGCAAAGAATGTACCAGTTGACTGCAAACAACATGCATGATCAGTGACATCTGAAGATTAGAAAAAATATTGCATTCGATACAAATACAAATATGAACATGAGGTGTAATCATCCAAATATATGGAAAAAAAATAAAAAGTTCAAGTTGAAGTGAGACTTTGAGGTGGTGCTCAAACCTCAAAAAGAGAAACCAAAGCAGGAGCCATCATAACAAAGACATCTCTAGCATTAAAGGTGGGGCTTCCCCATTGAAAGGGATAAGGAAAATATATCCTGCAGTTAAGGACACATAATTTGAGAGTAAGATCATGAGTTAAAAGGTAAAAGTTTAACATCTACAAGTATATTTAAGTTGACAGGTTAAAGTATCTACGTTAGGATATTCAGATATAGGCATCGAATTGTTGTCTTCAAATACGTGAAAAAGCTTTCAATTGAGCATACTTTCGTCGAACACATACTCTTACTGGGCACTAATCCTCAAGTTGGAATTACATACCAAGGAGCTGTGGTAATAAGCCCAGCACGATCAGTTCGACAGCTAATCTGGGTGTTCTCTGGTTTGTGTTTGTATACATTAGTTGAGGTTAGAAGTTGAGCAAATAACCATGTAATTGCAACTGTGAAGAGGATTGAAAATCTGTCACAGATAAGGCGCTTTGATTGTATATAACGAGGAAGATACTGCAGAATCACGAGAAATTAAGAGAAGAGTAATTATCAACAGCAATTGTGAATGTGAAGGTGATAGAAGCGAAGAGATCTTGAAAAAAAAAAGGCCTCAAGGGAAGCATACGTCTCACCATAACCAAAAATTGCAAAAATAAACAGTAATAACCACAAAATAATTATATATATAAAAAACTGTGAAAACATTTTTATTGAAGAATAAACGTACCTGTGAAATGAAAACCATGAGAATAATCCCTGGAAGGCCAACTTCTACACACTTTGCAAGCTGAATTAAATGGCAAAAAAGGAAAGGAATCAGCTAAAAATCATATAGCAGGATGGCAACGGCACTGAAATTATGAAAAATGCCGGTACACAACGAAATCCGAAGGAGATGTCCCAGAAGCCGGTCACTAAAATATACAGAAAAAATTACCATGGGGAAGCCAAGATGATAAAGTCCAAGCCCAGTAAAAGTCACATATGGAACAACAGAGAGAGGGCTAAGGAACCTGAAAAGAAGTTATTCAAGATATAGTACACCCCAAATAAAATCAGTCTACATACTTTGAAGGTTCTAACCTCACAGCATTTCTCCATAATCCTAAAAATCCCAATGCACTCTGGAAACATGCAGCAGCAATGAGTGCACCCTGAATCCCTTTCATTGTCCGTACGAACCTCTGTAAAATAATCCAGATAGACAATAAATTTTCATGGCTATTTAGCTGCAACTTTTAAGCTAGGTTACTCGAACTTGAGTGCAAGAGTTGATACGACGGAGGAAAATTAGGATTTGGCGAAGACAGTAGTATATTCGAACTTTTTAGCAAGAACAATAGGAAGTGGTAATATATTTGAAAAGAAATTTTACAAGCATAACAAAACCAGCCAACCTCATAAGGATCTGTGCAAGAACTGTATCTGCTTGCTTGGATAATAGAAGTAACAGGAATCAAATAAGCATATGAACCCACTACCACTATGGGGAGCCGGGTTCCTAGAAATGACTGAAAAAGCGTGCTTAATCCCGAAACAAAAAGTAAGCTCTGAATGACTGTTGCCTTCTCAACCTGTATTAGAGACACCAAACCCAAAACAAGGTTTCAGCTAGACTTAATCACTTACAGAATAACATAATAAAGAAAGAAAAAGGAAAAATCAAGCAAGATAAACCAATAAAATCCTCACATTTCCACCGCCCATTTGAGGAACGAGTATGCTCGGAATCAAAACCGTGATGCCAAGAGTGAGTAGATAATGCTGGAAACCCAGTACAATTGCTTCCGCTGCATAAAATATTGAAAAAACATAATACAAAGAGAAGGTTCAATCGATTCAAAGTTCTTTTTTTTTTTCAGATTAGCAAATTCTGCGTTTGGATTCTGAAAGTAAAACCAGGGAACATTGCATGAAATACGCCAACTGTCTAATTTAGTGATGGATAACAAAGAAACTGACTGCTAAAGTCTGCATAGATATGAGACGGATTTTACATACGCCATGTAGGAGAGCTGTTAATGCAATACTGAATTCCAGGCAATTGTTCTTTCACCGAGTGCGGTTGCGGCGCCTCAAACTTCACACCATTGTTACCGTTACCGCCATTTTGGGCCATATCTGCAAATGTGACTGAAGCAAGGCATTGCTTAATAGGAATGAAAACTCCGGAAAATTAAAATTACAAGAAAACGAATTGCATTGACTTAGATTAAGAAATGCAAGAATCAAAACTTCCGAAACAAGCAGTAAAAAGATTTCATTAAAGAAAAAGATATAGAAAGGATTTGACTGAAAGTCCACGAGAAGTCACACTTGCTATTGAAACAAAATTAAAGATATTCATGAATCAATTTGAAATATTCACCTTCACCAAATTCGAGCTTTGTTTTTTTAGATTTTTGAACATCTCGCAATAGCTCAGATAGAATGATTTAAATATCATAATTCTTTACTTATGAAATTTAATTTATCAGTTTACCGGACAAAAATGTTACAACCGGAGAATTAAATGTTTATATACTATAAATATTCATTTTAAATCAATCTAATTTGACCGTTAAGAGTAAGTTTGAATTTGTTGTTCAATTGTAATTATTCAAATCAATTTTGATTTAAAATTAAAAAAAATAGTGAATAGTTGTCCTACCATAATAGTATAGACTGCCTACAAAAATATTCAACAACAACAAAACCCTATTCCCATATGCAATGGGGTAAGGGGAGGTAGGGTAGTAGGCTGCCCTCAACGTCAGGTTAGAACAGCTTCCGTGGAAGACCTCCGCAGTCAGAAAATTAAAAGTAAAATAAAATGCAATGCATGAATACTATTTATGGGACAAATATTGACAGTTAAATTTTTCCCATAAAAATTCAATATGAAATTTAATTAATTTTTAAATACAAATTTTTAGAAATATTTTTGTAATTTTTTAATATAATCACAACTATTTGATTTATCGATGGATTGACCTTAATATAATATTATAGAGGTTCATTACGAGAGTGAACTTCCTAATCTCACAAATTAACTTGTTCGATTCATAATATTAAATTGCTCAATTCATAACATTAAATTTTAAACATTGGACCTTGTTGTAAGAATCTATCGTCTCATTATACTATATCAATTAATAGTCAAAATAAAAACATAAAAATAGTAAAAAAAATACAATAATGTTTATTTTAAGTTTCAATAATGTATTTTTACAATACAAATGTTTAATTGATATCAATATTGAATTTCATCTTTCTTCTCAATTATAAAACATTAAGAATAGTTTAAATATTTCAATTCATTGGTTATGAAATTTCAAATTTCGTCAGTTTACTAGAGAAAATGGTTACAACCAGTAAATTAAATGTTTGTAGACTAAAAATATTTAATTCAAGAATCATTCTAATTTGACAGTTAAGAGTAAATTTGAATTGTTGTTCAATTATAATCATTCAAATCAATTGGCTTGCATATGAAATATCTTATTTGCCAAAAAAATTAATTTAAAATTAAGAAAATAAAAGTGATTAGTTGTCCTACCATTAGAGATGCACATAGCTGGATTTAAATCGATCCGGACCGGATAAAAACCGATTCAGTTTTTTCACCAAGTCAAAAAAACGGTTTATAAAAAAAACCGGTTCGGATCATAACCGGTTTGGAGGGTCGATGATGTAACCGGTTTCGGTTTGAAAAAAAACCGGTTTTTTAAAAAATCGGTTTTTAATCCGGTAAAAAATCCAGTCATCCAATTTTTTAAACCCCAAACCGGATTTTTAAACCCCATACCGATTTTTTCCCGGATAAAAAACCGGTTTTTAATCCGGTAAAAAATCCGATCGTCCAATTTTTTCCCAAACCGGATACCGGTTATACTATCTGGTTTTAAAATATCCTATCCGGTTTAAAAAAACCGATTTTTCCCAAATCCGGTTTCGGATATTTTTTACGTAAAATCGGATATTCGGATTTTTTGTGCACCTCTACCTACCATCATAGTATAAACATCCGACAGAAATATTCATTAGCTCCAAACATTTTCATAAATAGTATTTATGGGACAAATAATTTATGATTGTTAGATTTTTCCATAAAAATGTAATATGAAATTTAATTAATTTTTTAATATAATTTTTTACAAATTTTTTTGTAATTTTTTAATATAACCACAAATATTTGCTTTATTGATGGATTGGCCTTAATAGAATATGGTAGAGGTTCATTACGAGAGTAAACTTCCTGATCTCACAATTTAACTTGCTCAATTCACAACATTAAAATTTAAACATTGGACCTTGCTGTAAGAATCTACCGTCTTATTTTGCTAGATCAATTAATAGTCAAAATAAAAACATATAATTATTAAAAAATTCTATGCTTTTTATTTTCAATTCTAATTATGTATTTTTTATATTACAAATGTTTAATTGATATCAATATTGAATTTCGTCTTTAGACTATCTTTCTTCTGAACTATAAAACATTAAGAATTATTTAAATATCTCAATTATATTCTTATGAAATTTCAAATTTGTCAATTTATTGGAGAAAATCATTACAACTAGTGAATTAAATGTTTGTAGACTATAACTATTCAACTCAAATCTTTCTAATTTGATTGTTAAGAGTAAATTCGGATTGGTTGTTCAATTATAATTATTCAAATTAATTGGCTTGCGTGTGTTATTTAAAGGCCATTTCCTGAATTCTATAGCCTTAACATATCATGGTACATATGGTTCGGTTGAGGTGTTTTGGTTATAGCGTGCCTTTATGGAGCTGTTCTTCCAGTTCATATGGTATAACTAGAAAGGCTCCTTGTTATTGAACGTAAAGCTTAGGTGTTAATGAGTCTTCGACCCTATTCCGTGTATTCATGAGATAGATTTGTCGGTGGGGTGTATGTCGCCTTTGGATGGTCTGTTTATGGGATTTGGAAGCGTTTGCTAAGTACCTGGCGTTTATGCTGGTGAATGCACAGCTGTTGGCAATAATTATATTGGCGCAATGCTGACGAAGATTTATACAAGGTGGTGTCCAAGAATCCTTGTTGCTTTTGACAATTATGTGTTTGTGTATACGATTTTGTCCAGCAACTTATGGTTGTGTGTTGCTCTTTGAAAGAACTTATCTTGTATCGACATTGATTGGGTGCACTCTTTTTCTCCATATAGACTTAGTGAATTTTTTAACGAGACCCCTATCGATGTCTTGTTTTATATGCTTGAACCAATTCTATCATACAAAACACCATTTTCAAAACAAAACAAAAAATCAGTTAGCTTGCATATAAAATTTCTTAATTTCCAAAATTTCAATTTAAAATTGAGAAAATAAAAATGATTAGTTGTCATATCATCATAGCATAAACATCCAACAAAAATATTCATTACCTCCAAACATTTTCATAAATAGTATTTAATGGGGAAATAATTATATGACGGTTAAATTTTTTCCATAAAAGTGTAATACAAAATTTAATTAAATTTTTAATATAAATTTTTTGTAATTTTTTAATATAACCACAAATATTTGATTTATCGATGGATTGACATTAATAAAATAATGTAGAAGTTCATTACGAGAGCGAACTTCCTAATCTCACAATTTAACTTGCTCAATTCATAACATTAAATTTTAAACATTGGACCTTGTCGTAAGAATCTATCATCTCATTCTACTATATCATTAGTAGTCAAAATAAAAACATACAAATAATAAAAATTTATCATATTATTTATTTTGATTTCCAATTATGTATTTTTTATATTACAAATGTTTTATTGATATCAATATTGAATTTCATCTTTAAACCTTCTTTCTTCTCAATTATAGAACATTAAGAATGATTTAAATATCTCAATTCTTTGCTTATTAAATTTTAAAGTTAGTTTGCTTACTCGATAAAATGATTACAACCAGTGAATTAAATGTTTGTAGACAACAAATATTCAATTAAAATCATTCTAATTTGACTGTTAATAGTAAGTGAATTGATTGTTCAATTGTAATTATTGAAATCAATTGTCTTGTATATGAAATTTCTTATTTGCCAAAATTTTAATTTAAAATTGAGATGATAATAGTGATTAGTTGTCCTACTATCATGGTATAAACATCCAACAAAAACATTCATCAGCTCCAAACATTTTCATAAATTGTAAGACCCCAAATCTCGGGTCAATAGTTTGGGTTATCCCAAAACCAATAGTTGAACCCATTAGATTTCCTAAGATAGTTTGGATCAATTAGAAAGAGTATTGGGTTTAGGTTGGCCCAATAGCTTTAGAAAAGTGGTGTTTTTAAAAGTAAGTTAATTGGAGAAGAACCTAAAGTGTAGTTTACCCTTTTAGCTAAAGCTGATATCTTTCCCTCTCTCTTTTTACCTTATACGTGAATCACTCCCATTACCTCCTCACCAAATACTTCTCTTCTTTCTTCTATAATTTCTTTCTTTCTTCCTTCCTCCTTCAAAGTTGAGATATTAAGAGTCCTAAGTGTAGGGTTGCTAAACTAAGGTGAGAATGATTCTCTCCATATTTCAAGCTTGGTTTTAAGCTTCATTTTGTGAGTTTTAGAATTAGTTTTCAAAATGAGTTTTTCTTGAAGGTAGGGTAAATCCTTGTTGATTCAAGGGATGTTTTAGCAGCAAGGCAATAAGGTAACACACTTATAGCTTTCTCATACCAAGTGTAGATCATGGAAAGTTAAGATGTGTTAGAAAGTTAAGTTTAAAGCATGTTTAGTAATTTCCATGGTAGATTATTCATTTGATGTTATAAGCATGTTAATAAGCCTCTATTATGACCCCTTTGATCAATTAAACTTTAAGCATGTTTGGGGACCTCACTAAGGTCTTTGGGATTGAGAAATAGAGTTTTTCGTACTTGTTTTATGACTTCTATAGGTAGAGTATCGATACTATAGGGATAGTATCGATACTTGTTCTTCGTTTTGGGCAAATTCGTGAGTTTCTAGGCAAGAGTATCGAAACTTTGGGTCAAAGTTTCGAAACTGGGTAGAACATAATGTTTAAAAGTATCGATACATATATAAAGTATCGAAACTTTTACATGAGTATGTATACTCTTGGGCTAGTATCAATACTTTCAGTCTATTTTGGGCAAAAATGTTAGTTTTTGAGGGAATTAGACTTGAGGTACCCAACACTTCATTATATCATCAAATAAGACTTCAAGTGAGAACGATAAGAAAGTTTAAATTCAAACGTAAAAACAAGAATAGAGTAAGATCAAATAATACTAGCCTTGTTTGAATGCTCAAAAACAACCAAGAGACCCGAGTTCCTATAGAAAAGATAGCAGAGACATTTAAATCTTTTGGTAAATGTTAATAGGTGTTCTTTGAAAGATTTTGGTAAAATGTTAATGTGTTTTGTTTTGTTTGAAAATTTTTAGGTGACTTTGTTTCAATGTAAAAAATATATAATTTGAGTATTAAAATAGTTGATGGAGAGAGAGAGATAAATGTGTTATTAAGGAAGAGCGAGAGAAAATGAGTATGTAGAGGAAGGAGAGGAAAAAGAGGAGGAGGAGGAGGAGAAGAAGAATGAGAGAGGGGGAAAGAGAGAGAAATATGTTGAAGAAGAGACGGGTGTTTAATCTGTTGGGGTATATTAATTTACTTGTTTAGTAGTTTACCCTTTATTATTTTAAGCAAAACTACGACTTTTAGGATTTTTGAGTATTAAAAAGTCGTGTCAAAACGATATCAGTCATGTGATTGGGCAAGCCCAATAAAACCTAGAAATACGTGCTCGTTAATTTTCGGTATTGGGCCGTCGTTCTACCTATGTAGTTTTTCCTCTCTTTTTTCTTATAAATTTCGGGGGGAAGAAAATCCTCGTAAGCACTTGATACAACGGAGTCGTATTCCGTAGGTGATAATCAACATAAGAAGGAACAACATTTCCGTTTCATGGTCAGGCATCTTCTTTACTTTCCTGCAAGCGGGATTTTGTTGATTTTAAGTTTCCACCCTTTTTTGCTATGATTATTTGGGTTTTAAGGTTTTATTGTCTTCTTTTAAACAGAGTATGTCAATTGTTTCGTAATCTGGACTATAAATTGTTGATTTTGAGATTTTTTTTGATGAATTTTCCAAGAAAGGCATTTGGTTTGGGCTTTTCTTGCTTTGTTTTGAGCATCAATGATTTGTTGAGTTTGTTGGTTTGCGGGATTTGATTTGATCCTTTCACTTAAGGTTTGAAGATTGGGGGAAAGAATTTATTGCTGCGATTCTGGAGTTGATATTTTTAATTGAGCTGCCTATGGATGTTAATATCTAGATTACTTATTTGGTTATCAAACAAATATTGCAATTCATCATCCTTATGTTGTAGCATTGGTTGAGCATAGGCTATGCGGATTTTGCTCCAGGAAACTAAAACACAACTCGAAATAGGGTTGATTTTGATCATCGTATTTCCTCATGTTTGTGCATGTTAATCATAAAATCATGCTCAGTCCTTTTCAATTTCAGTAAACTGTTTTACGAATCCTAAGTTGAAGAAAGTTGCATTCTACTGAAAATGAACTTCAAAGACAAATTGAGGACTTGAGGTCTAACTTCAAAGGACTCGAAAATTGTTATACACTGCACGGAAAGCAGAATGCATAGTTATAGTCTATTACAAGTTTACAGATGCAGAACCATTTTTTTTCTAGTGTACTAATAGCTGTTTGATCCCTTTTTCTATGTTATGTGAGTGTAGTTTTCAGGAATACGGATTAGTATCTAGGGCATGGGGAAATCTGCTGCAGATGAAATGATTCTTAGTTACAATGACGTTGTTCTTAGACGATCGGACTTGGAAATCCTCGGTGGTCCATATTATTTGAATGATAGAATCATAGAGTTCTATTTTAGTCTCCTATCTGCAAGCCATCCTTCACAGGACATCTTGTTGGTTTCACCATCGATTGCTTTCTGGATAACCAACTGTCCTGATGTTGATGGTCTCAAAGATTTTCTGGAACCCCTTAAATTGCCAGATAAGAACCTCGTGCTTTTTCCAGTCAATAATAACGATGATGTGAGCTTAGCCGAAGGTGGAAGTCACTGGAGTTTACTTGCATATTACCGAAGTGCTAATGTCTTTGTGCATCACGATAGCAGTCAGCAGATGAATAAGAGGCCTGCCATGAAGCTGTATAAATCTGTAGTTGGTTATATCAGTGGTTCCTGTTCAGCTGGTAACGACAAATATCTAGAATGCAGCGACACGCCTCAGCAAGTTAATTGTTATGATTGTGGCTTATATGTAACGGCTACCGCAAGAACTATATGCTCCTGGTATGAAAGTAGTGAAAGCAAAAACGATGAGGATTTGTGGTTTTCTGCTGTAAAGGAGCAGGTTACTCCATTGGCGGTCTGTGAGCTGAGAAAAGAGATATTGAGGCTGATCAAAGATCTGATGGCCAAGCAATGAGAGTTTCTGAATCACGATTTAAGACTGAAGGATGGGGTCGGGTGGAATCGAGTGTGTGTGCAAGGAGATGAAGTTGTTCTTCTATTTCATGGATCTTGTATAAATTTCTCGTCTCTCTTTCGAAGTTCGGGACTTGATCTATTTTCTGGAATAGCAACTTAAAGCAGGCAATGTATCAGTAATTTCCTTTCCTTTCCCCCCCCCTATTCTATTGTTAAATGAAAACTCTTTATTCTCGAACACGTGTTTAGATGCTCATTCTCGCCCGAGACTTCAAAGGTGTTTTATTACAGTATTTATATTATATAAGTATATATGTGATAATATCTATAAAATAATTTCAGAAAATATGTAAAATATAGATGAAAACATATAATATATAGAATTTTTGAAAACATGTTATGTAGTTTTTGAAAATATAATATATATTATATAGTTTTTAAAATATACGTATATATAAATATATATTATTTATTATCAGTGGTATTAATTTTAACTTCGACTTTATTTTTAGGTCCAATAAAAATTCAGTCCAGGTTTGATGTAAGTCCAATCCAAGTTTCAAGGTTCAATTATGTCCAAATCCGGTCCAAGTTAGAGTCCAAAGCCAAGGCCCAACCAAGCATACAATCCTAACACAGTAAAATGTCTCTTTGGAAGTCTATCAAGGAAGGCTTGACCCAGCCCCCATATACAATTAGGCTTCTTCACTTAAGCTAAGGTTCACACGATTAGGGGAGGAACCAACGGCCGAGATTTAAAATAGATTAGGGATATGAAGCCCTAATTTTAAGACACTCGCGCAGCCGATCCACATTCATTGGATCTGGCTCAGGGATCCAATGACCATAAACGCTCCAAGAGACCATAAACGCTCCAAGAGAATTAAGGGTGTCTTTGGTTTACGGAATGTAAGATTACCAGCGAGAATAAGATTATTGGAATGTTGTATTTTGTGTTTTGTTCGTTTAGCAGGAATGTAAGATTACAGTGTTTGGTTAAAGAAATAAAAGATTATTTGGAATGTATATTTTATCAAATTGTCTTATTATATATTTTTTTTTTTAACAAGTTGAATTCTATAATTTTATTATAATTAATTTATATATTTTCTTTAAAAAATTTAAATTCATAAAATTTATATAAATTTTTTTTCAAAATTGAAAAAATAAATAGATTCAATGAAAGGTAAAATTTTATTTTAACCCCTGAACTTCATATAAAATTATATTTGTGGACTTTTTTTGTAAATCTAAAAAATTTAAGGATATTTTTTAAAGAAAAAAATTTAAAGGCATTTTAGTCCAAAACGCGGTAATCCAACAAAATCTCAGGGAATGAGGTAATCACATTCCCGGTAATATACCCTAGAAATATCACTGTTGGGAATAAAGGATTACTGAGGTTCGGAATGTTTACAACCAACGAGGAATGACATTTATTCCCCCGTAATGCAAGATTTACTGAATCAATCATCCCCTAAAGGGTTATGACGGGTGAGATAACGGCGCGTAAAGACCATGCGCAACGAAAAAAACCTCAAACGCCATTCTACGCGCCGATAAAAAATTATTCTCATAATTCCCAGCCGTGATTTTGGGAAGGAAATCTTGATTTCCCAAGCAATAATTGGATCAAAACACAAATGGCAACAAATCAAGAAATCAATCGCAAACAGTCAACCCAAATCGAAGATGGCAAGAATCAAATCCACATCTTTGTACATGCAAAGCAACTCAGGGGTGTCCATCCTTCCCCTATTGTAATCGACTCTGAAGCTTCTAGTAAGATGGACTTAGTGAAAACGATAAATAAGGTATCCGATCAACCTATCTGAAAATGATCGGTGGCGATTCATCATGATTCCAAGTCGGAACGTGAACCTGAGACCACCCGAAAGACCGTTGCGACACCACAAAATGCCATATCATTAATGAGTAAAACAAAAATACATAATCGATTAGAAAAATGTTTATTCCACTGGCGCTAGACAACATAGTACCTGTCTGTATGGATATGTATAGTCATAAAAGAGGCGGCAATAATCTGGCAGACAAGTCCATCAGAAAATAATACCAGTTTGCTGAGGTTGGGTTTGCAGGTCCAGCTTCCAGTTCCTGCGGGCAGCCGCCCACCTCCATTTTGAACTCACAATAACATACCATTGCTAACCCCGCCAAAATGTGATTCGATTCGGTTTATTACTCCAAATTACATTACACGGTCTTGATGGGATGTGTAAAGAGATCAACGCTATTACTTTGGATTGAAGAAACTCCTATGGCGGTGGTGAAAATATTCGTACAGGCTTCATTTACCAATTATAAAGAAACTCCTGGACTGGTAGGTTCCTTTGGTTCGCATTCCGTATTACCTACTTCAGCCAGCCACGTGTTTGAACTACTTCCAATTTAAGATTCTGTCAGTTCGGACCCCACTCCGGGCTCCTCCCGCCGACCAATCTATCCCGTCTTGTTCTTCATTTTTTGCAATCTTTTGTTTTGTTTTACTATAACTAATTTAATAAATATAAATATATTGATTTTCTTATGGCTTAAGTTTAGAAGCTGATTTCAACCTGTTCACACGGTGCTTACCTAACTATTACTTCATTCCCGCTACTCTTCTTGCTAGTAATTTCATTAATAAAAAAAGAAATATACAATTTATCAATTTCGCTCCTATCATATTTTCGTATTAATTTTATCTTTAAAGTTGTTTAATTTCATCAAAGTCTACCTTTAACATTCTTGACTAACAGAACTGTTAATTTATGTTGATGTAGACGTTAGTTCTTTTCACCTAAGATATCTTTGCTGACGTGTCAGCCGGATAACGTGACAATAACAAAAAAATATACTGTTATTTTTTAAATAAACAGGAAAAAAATTGGGATTTTCCCCCTAATTCCTAATCAAACACAATCTCTTGGAGACTTGGTTCATCATCCTGCTCACAATCTCCATTGCTCTTCTCCACAAAGCTTTCTTCAACCTCTTCTCCCTCTCCCAAACCCAAGCTCCCTCCTTCCCCTCCCCTTTCCCTTTTATTGGCAAATTCTTATGGATCTGAAAATCCATTTTCCAAATCGAACAATTCGTCCGCCGCCTCTTCTGTATATTATGTATAATATACGTTTTTAAAAAAAAAATCTTTTATAATTTATAATTTATCATTCTATAGCTCATGATATATATTAATTTTTTAAAATTAATAGTATTTTTAATATACATATATAATATTTTTTTAATAATTTAAATTTTATTTTTAGTATTTATTTAATACTTTTAATATTTTATATTTTAAATTCTAAATTTAAGATAATTTTTAATTTTATAAAAAATTAAATAAGTTTCTAAACTTTTAAGAAAATCAATACGATCCTTAAACAGTATTAAAAATCAATTTAACCCATTTATTATGTCATTTTCCGAGTTAATAAACATCGTGAACCGCTACTTCAGTAACTTAAACTGTCATGTAAACATCGTAAAGGTTAACAGTTAAACACAATGGTCAAATGACTTTATTTTCTATATTTGAGGATCACATTAGTTGAAGAGTAATTCGAGGACCAAATTAATTTTTATTAAAATTACAATAGTCTTGTATGCCTTTTTGTCATAAAATTATGCTTTATATTTTTTTTGGGTAAACTAAAAATATGTTTTATTAATGAACATATTATTGTCGCACTGTATATTGAGCAAAAACTAGAAGAAAATTTATTAATTACAGAGATGATTTTGATGTTAGCCGTAGAGTTTCTTTGTAGTGGGAAAGCTGATTGCTAGATTCTTAGCTTGAGCAAGATGCTACCGTTCTCTTAGCTTGAGCAAGATGCTACCGTTCTCTTAGCTTCAGCCAAGATGCTACCTTTCCCTCTCTGTGGCACAGTTTTCCATTATAACTTTCACTTTTTCTTTTTAAATTATTATTACTGCTATCATTATAATAATTATTATTAAAATGTGTTATTTTGACTGAAAAAATTGACCGGTCAACAAACTTGACTGATCTTTCGCAATTGGAATGTGATGTATCCACTTGTCTCGCCATCCTTAGCTCCCCTTGCCCTACCGCCTTCTTTTCCCCCATAATTACCCTTAAATCCTAATTAATCAGCAAAACTCACTGATACAAGGGGTGTTCATTAATAGGTTAAAACCGATTGAACCGATTTTCTATTATTAATCGGTTGAATAATTTGAAGTTCGACCGGTTAATGATTAATAATATTTTAAAGTTTGGTTATCGGATATTTTGGTTTGAACTTGGTTCATTAATTGAAAATTTTAAATTATAATAAATTATTTATGTATTATTTAGTTTTATGAGTGTTTAAATTTAAGTTTTAACCAATTGAATTAATCGAAAAACAATCAAATTAACTGAAATTATTAAATATTTAATATATAATATATTTTATTTTAATTTTTGGTTTATTTGATTAACCGATCGAGGTTAATCGAATTAACAGAACTTTGTTCGATTCGATTAACAAATTTTGTTTCATTTAACTGTCAAAAAAAATTCGGTCAGTGATTTATGGTCTATTAACCAAACGACCGGTTGAACATCCCTACATATAAAGGTTTCTTTTACACAGACATATATATGTATATATATAATAATTGAATTTAAAAAGATTCCCCGCTAATTATATAAACATGTATATTAATTAATTTAGATAGTAAAATATAGAAAAACATATCCAAAGTAAAGGAGAAGTGGAGGGTCAATCAATGTCTGATTATTGTCTGACAGAGGGATGACAAGTTAGAATTTTGGTTGGAAACATTGATTTTCTCGCCCATCCAACCATCTTCTTAGCCAGGAAGTCGGATAATAAATTCAAAATTAAATCTGAAGAAAATAAAAAGCTATGGGACGGCCATATCCACTTGATTGATTGATCATCATTTTCAGTGGATGGATTGCATGTGGATTTCAAGCCTCTCTTCCTACTGTTTCCCCCATTTCCTTTCTTTTTATGGAAATTTATGTATTCTAGCTTAAACCCAATTATTGTACAGAATTCGGATTAAAATTATCTGATTTAATATAATCTATATACTAAAAATATTCTTTTAACATATATAAATTCAACTTTAACACGTGGATTACAAATAATGAATGAAAGCCTCCACTCATAAACCAAATTATGTTGAAATTCATGTTTGGGTCACAATAAAAGCAGCTATAAATGAAATTTGTTTTGATAGAGATTACTCAAGTTTGACTTTAGAGGTAGTCTATCTCAATGAACGTGGCTAATGAATCTATTGAACGAGAAATATTAGAAGGTTTTGGCCTAACACGTCATATGCGATCGCAACCAATAATATTTGTTTTTCTATTGAACACAGCAGACATCTGGTTATCGGTTTTTATTTTCAGGTTTCGCTTAAGATCGGATTAAATCAAATATATAATAATAATAAGTACATTTGTATAATTCACTATATAATTGGTTAGAATTAAAATAAATTGATATAAAAAAAACAACTGATACTAAGAAGATGTATTATTATTTATAGGGATATTTGATCTGGATGTTTTCAAAACAATGGAACTTTTTTAATGGTGTTTTGGAAACACGAGGTTTATGCTGTATGTGTCCATGTTTTTGTGTGCAGGAGTGATTTGAATAGCAGAGATTTTCAGGGGATCGAATTTGATTCAGGACAAGACCTGCTGTCGGGTGGTCACCACCTCGTATTTTAAAGCACGTTCTATTATATATATGATTTAAACAATTATTTTACAGTTTTAATATACGTGTAAATATGTTATCTATCCATCAAACATTTATTTAAATATTTCAAAAAAAATAGCAAAATTCATTAATATCATAGTAAAAAAATACATATTTCAAATATTAAAGAGATTAAAAACAAGCAAAATACAATAAAATTGAGACTTAAAGTAAAGAATAGTACTTGAACTATGCTATATTTTTTTGTTTTAGGTACCTAAGTTTTTTTATGTCAAATTAGGTACTCAAATAATTATATGTAACCACTTTAAGTACCTCAACTTTTTCTTGGTCAAAGTAAGCCCCTAAACTATACCTTTTTTGTTTTAAGCCCTTAAAATATTTTTTTGCTCAAAACAAGTACCTGATTTTGTATGACTTGTCAACATCTAATCGGTCAAAAAATAATATTCTAACTGAAAAATATTAAGACTTAAAATAATTAAATATAATAGTTTAAGTATCTAGTTTGACAAAAAATAATTTAATTACCAAAAGTAGAAAAAAGTGAACATAATCTAGATACTTATTTTTACTTTAACCCTAAAATTAAATAAGCAAGAATTGAATAATATGAACGCTCAATTACATGATGCATGATGCTCGAACCCATGACCTCTAGGTCTAACATCGATTTCTTTAACTATCAAGGTAATTTGGTTCGAGTAGTTTCCATTAATAAAAAAACACTATTGCTAAAATGTATACTTAGTAAAAGACATAAAGAGAATGAATTCATTGGAAAAAATGGAGGGACCATGAGTTAAAATAGGTAGTCTTGAGGGTAGTGGAGAGTAAAGAGTGAAGAGGCCTGAGTCAGATGGATCTCACAGCATAGTCGAATACACGCGAGAAATGGACCCACAAAAAAGGGCCCCCCAAAGGCCATGGACTACCTTAATCTTTAGCCAGAATTTTCTTTCATTGTTTGATATCTGAGTACCCCACCAACATAAAATATTAAAAAGAAATACGAAATTATATAATATATATTTATGGACGTTCAAGATTATCATATAGTCATCTCGTACGGGAAACTCGTCACGAGGATATAATAAAAAAGAAAAACTAATTTATTTATAATTTATTTACTCTCTCTCTCACACATCGGGAGGTGTAGCCGAGGGGCTAGCTTTCGCTTTATATGTGAAGGATACCTTTGCTTTGCTTGGAGTTGCTACCAAACACAAAACTCTTCTATCTTCTTCTTTCATACTAAGCTTATTTTAACCCCGTTTTTCTCTGCACTGCTACTACTGCGCTTGTTTAAACAACAACCGAGTTGGATGAATGGATCCTTCAACCAGACAACACCAGGTACTATGTATTCTGATTGCAACAAGTGTTTTTACTTATGTTTTTAACCATGAAATTCCTGCTTTTATTAAATATGGGAGCTTGATCTTCTTCTTCCATTTTTTTCTGGTCTTTTGTTGTCTGAATATATATTCTTAAAGATCGATCTTTAGTTACTTCTTCGTTTGTTTATGAAGATGAAATGAATGATATCAATTTTCCAATCAATCAAAACATTTCCAAGTATTATACTAAAAATCTGATTAAGAACATCAATTATTTGTTGTAATAATTTGGTTCAATATATTGAATTAATGTTTTTTTTAATTTCAGGAGATGTCTAACCCTTCATTGGAAAACATGTCGGTTAACTCAAAAGGACAACAAGAGAGGAAACCAAGGCCACAACAGGAACAAGCACTCAAGTGCCCAAGATGTGATTCCACCAACACCAAATTCTGCTATTACAACAACTACAGCCTTTCCCAGCCAAGGTATTTCTGCAAATCATGCAGGCGGTATTGGACCAAAGGAGGCACATTGAGAAACGTTCCAGTGGGCGGCGGGTGCAGGAAGAACAAAAGTTCATCATCATCAAAGAGAAGCCAAGATCAGCCATTAACCCCCAATACCAACCCACTCATCACTTCCCACCTCCCGCCTTTGAATTACGATACCAATGACCTAAGCCTCGCCTTTGCCAGGCTCCAAAAACAACCTACTTTTCCATTAGGGTTTGATGAAATCGGAAACCCTAGCATGAACAGCAATCCCGCCATTTTCGATGCACTCAGAAACAGCTTACTTGGAAACCAGAACAACCTCCAGAATTTTTACTACGGGTTCGGAAATGAAAACTTCGCCGGTGAGGTTGAAAACATGGGGTTTAACGGCCAACTTATGGTACCGTACAGTAACGATGAGTTGAGTACTGCAAGCACAGTTACAACCATGAAGCAAGAGCTTTCCATGGCTGACTTTGATTCGGGAAGAGGAAACTGGAACGGCGGCTTCAATTCATCTTGGCATGGAATGATTAATAGCCCTCTAATGTAGTTTAAGAAAAAAACAACTGGAGTTCTATGTTTGTTTGTTTTTTTTAATGTCTGAAAGCAGCATATTTTCAGTAGTTTTTTTGTTGTTGTGTACTTAGGAGGGAGATTTGATTCATCAGAATCATCAGTAATTCCCATGTTCCTTTTTCATTATTAGTGCTGCCATTTTCGTTCTATTATTGGTTGATAAGTTAATGATTTCCAAATTTGTTTGCTAACCAATAAGGGGAATTTCGCAGACCATGCTAGAGAAAAAAGAGTGAGTGAGATGTTTCATGGTTTGTCTGTCAGGTCTGAACTGTCTGAAAAATCATATGAAAGTTCGGTTAGTTTGCATGCAGTTCCTTCGGGTTTTGAATCAGTTGATGTTTCCTAGATATTCTGTCATCATGGCTCCTTATTACTCTCAATTTCTGGTGCAATCTAAGAATAAACAACAGATTATTCCGTTCACATTATCAGTAATTGATTAATTAATTAAATTTGGATTGTGATCTCTCCTAAGATTTCGGTAAGACTATGAAAAGCACTAATCCCAGACAATCTTACTTAAGATACGGTCGATCGCCCTGATGGTGCAATTGTCATAAAATTAGTCTCGGAATTGTACTAAAATAATATTTGTTTATGGTCTTCAATCATAGTGGGATTATGATTGTATTAGCTCACCATCATATTATATACGCATATGATTTCATTAAATAATTCGTTAAGTACAAATTTTAGGATTGTTTGTAATAATACTCAATAATATCTAGATGAGTGGTTAAAAGTTTTTAGTTGACATTTATTCATTTTTATAAAAAAAAGCGAAAATGTTAACCGATAACTTTTAATAATATACTCTAAAAATTATTAACTTTAATAATAATTATAATCTTAAATGCAGTGTTCATCACTAAGGTCACCAATCCATTTATTTCCAATCTTTTACATTTTTATTTCTTTTATATTTTTCATATTTCTAGTGTTTATTTTACAAATGTTAGCTTTTTTCTTCTTCTTTATTTAATAAAGTTATTTTAAGGTGAAATTTATATTTACCTCTTTAGTTATTGATTTTTTTATTTTTGAATCACTTAATTGATTATTTCAATCTAATAAACGCTTATAATCATTTAAATATTTTTTATGATAAATTATGTTAGTGTTGAACGTATTTATCCTTTATTGTTTATCTTGAAAAAAGTGTTTACTCGTTTCTTTATATCTTTTTAGTTAATTAATTGAATTTTTATCATTTTCCAATTGTTTATTTAGAAAAAAAGTGTTTACTTGTATCTTTATATCTTTTTAGTTAATTAATTGAATTTTTATCATTTTCTAATATAATATTTATTTTAGGGTATGAATGAATTAAATCTTAAAAATATTATTTAAATCAATCATTGATTCATATTTAAGATAGTAATTTTGAGATTATATTCTATACACAATTAATATATAATTTTATATACAGTCAATAACTCACCAACTGTCAACTATTAGATGAAGAAAATTAAAATTAAAAAAAGCTTAAAAATAAAAAATAAATATTTTATACAAATAAAGTTTAAAAATAATTATTACATGCTTAATTTGTATTTAAAAATTTAATATATCGATTGTTAATACTCCAATGAATAACCTCTATTAGGACATCTTAAAATGAGTACGGACACCGCACATCTTTTCAGTATCATTACTTTGAAACTGAGTCATAACAAATCTAGATTTCGGATTTAATTTATTATAATAATAAAATAAAAGGAAATTCTATAACGTTCGATAAGCAGTGACGAACACCACTAACGATGAACACCATTAATTTAATTTATAAAAATTTAAAATTCTAAAGCACTGAACGTATAATTATAAATTTAAAGATAAATTATTTAAAATAAAGGGTAAATTATACTAGTGACCACATAACTATTGTCCCAATTCATTTTATACAATATTTTTAATATTTTGTCAATCAGGTCACTCAACAATTTAAATGCATTCAATTAAGCCACTTGCCGTTAATATTTAACAGATAAGCTGATGTGGCAATTAAAATATTTGATATAATTACACATTTGGTCACTGTTACTTATATATTCTATCAATTTAGTCCTAATTTTAATAAATTAAATAAAATCAATCCTCAAATCTTTACACATATACATATGGTTGTTGGATCATAAACTTGATCCATTAAGGGAGCCTAAACCCAAACCCAAACTAAATTGATTTCATTACTTACATCATTTAAGTAATGATGTCATTGCTTACATCATTTAATTAATGATGTCATTGCTTACATCAATTTAGTTAGGTGAAAGTTAGGTATTTGTAGACTTTAATGGTTTAAATTATTTGTGTGCTGTAGGATTGTTCTTAAGTAGTATAAATATCTCTCCCCATTGTAGTTTAAGAATCAAGAAAAATTAAGAGCTTCTAAGTGGGTGAAGAAGCAAAGTTTTATAAGAGTGAGTTGTAGTTCTTGGTTTTGAGTGAGAATGCTCTTGTAATATTTCTTTGAGTTTCAATAAAAGTTGTTTGTGTAAGTGTTTTATTTCCAACAAAGTGGCATCAGAGCGAGTTGAAAAGATCGAAGGTCTCGACGAGAGGAATCCGAAGCCACCAAAATTTTCTCAATCTGAGTTCTGACGCACCGCCGGAAGACTGCTGCTAGAAAATCGAGTTGACTCATCGAGTTGAGCCGAGTCAGCCGAGTTGGAGCCCCTTGACGGAGTTATCCAAGTCCCTCCCAAGTTTTTTTGTCATTCTGGATTCATTCGTACAATCGGATTTTGCAAATTCTCATTATATTGAGAGACATGACAAATGGTATGGCACCATTCCAAGTTCCGACACTCAACAACAACAACTACAACAATTGGAGTATCAAAATGAAGGCACTTCTTGGATCATAAGATGTGTGGGATATCATAGAGAAATGCTATAACGAGCTTACGGATGATGATGCTTTTGCTACTCTTACACCAGATCAAAAAACAACTTTGAAGGATTCAAGAAAGAGAGACAAAAAGGCTCTCTACCTCATCTATCAAGCATTAGATGATGATGGTTTTGAAAAGATTTCAAGTGCAAGCTCTAGAAAGGAAGCTTGGGAGAAGCTGCAAACCTCTTACAAAGGATCCGAGCAAGTGAAGAAGGTTCGTCTCCAAACATTAAGAGGTGAATTTGAATCCTTACACATGAAAGCATATGAGTCTATTTCAGATTATTTCTCAAGAGTAGTAGTTGTTTCTAATCAATTAAAAAGAAATGGTGAAAAGTTAGAAAATGTGAGAATAATAGAGAAGATACTCCGTTCGTTGGATCCTAAATTTGAGCACATAGTCGTGACGATTGAAGAAACTAAGGACTTGAAAGAAATGACGATCGAGCAACTCCAAGGATCATTGCAAGCATACGAAGAGAAGCATAAGAAGAAGCATGAGTTTACTGAGCAACTCCTCAAGCTGCAACTCAAGGACATGCATGAAAGCCAACGCAATGATAGAAACCAACGTGGCCAAGGCAGAGGTAGATGCCATGAACGAGGTGGAAGTCGAGATCATGGACGAGGCTGGAATTACAACAACAACAATTCCAACAACAACTATGAGAAAGGAGAAAGCTCAACACGAGGCCGTGAAAGAATCAATCCGAACTCAAGGCATGACAAATCTCAAATTCGATGTTATAATTGTCAGAAGTTTGGGCATTATGCTTCAGAATGTAGAGCTCCCAACAACAAAATTGAGGAGAAGGCCAACTACATGGAGGAAAAGACAGATGGCAAATAAACTCTTCTTCTAGCACGAAAAGAAACTGATGGTGGCCAGGTAAATTCCTGGTAACTTGACAATGGTGCAAACAATCAGATGTGTGAAAGAAAAGACATGTTCGTGGAGCTAGACGAGTCAGTAAGCGGAAATGTTTCGTTTGAAGATGATTCCACAATAGCAGTGAAAGGGAGAGGTAACATTCTTATTCGTTTGCAAGATGTGAGACATTAATTTATTTCAAATGTCTACTATGTGCCCAATATGAAAAGTAACATCTTAAGTTTAGGGCAACTGGTAGAGAAAGGTTATGATATTCATATGAATAATTATAATCTTTCTATAAATTATGATAAGAATAACTTCATTGATAAAGTACTGATATCAAAGAATATAATGTTCTTGATCAACATACAAAATGATGTTGCAAAGTGCCTGAAAGCTTGCTACAAAGATGCATCATGGCTTTTCCATCTTCGATTTGGGCATCTCAATTTTAGAGGTCTAGAGCTGTTATCTAAGAAGGAAATGGTAAAGGGACTACCTCGCATCAACCATCCTGACCAGCTTTGTGAAGAGTGTCTAGTCGGGAAACAATTCAGGAAAAGCTTTCCAAAGGAGTCAGAGACAAGAGCCAAGAAGCCACTTGAGCTCATCCATACCGATGTGTGTGGACCGATCAAGCCAAGCTCTCTCGGTAACAGTAACTATTTTCTTCTCTTCATTGATGAATTTTCAAGAAAAACCTGGGTATATTTCTTGAAACAGAAGTCAGAAGTTTTTGAAGTCTTCAAGAAGTTCAAAGCATCAATGGAGAGATAAAGCGGTAGAAAGATCAAAGTCATAAGATCCGATCGAGGTGGAGAATTTACTTCCAGGGAATTTCAAGAGTTCTGTGAAGCAAATGGAATTCGTCGACCAATGACAGTTCCTAGATCCCCCCAGCAAAATGGTGTGGCAGAAAGAAAGAACAGAACAATCCTCGACATGGCACGAAGAATGCTCAAAAGCAATAAACTACCCAAGGAATTTTGGGCGGAAGCAATAGCGTGTGCAGTCTACTTGACAAACCAATCTCCAATAAGAAGTGTATGGGGAAAGACACCACAAGAAGCATGGAGTGGAAGAAAGCCTGACATTTCCCACTTGAGAACCTTTGGAAGTATAACCCATGTTCACGTACCAGACGAGAGAATAACGAAGCTTGATGATAAAAGCGAGAGTTTTATCTTCATCGACTATGATGCTAATTTGAAGGGCTACAAGTTGTACAATCCAAACAATAAGAAGTTTGTGATTAGTTGAGATGTGGTCTTCAATGAAGAAGGAGAATGGGATTTTAACTCTCATACATATGACTTCAATTGCTGCCCTCAATTTGAAGAAGATGAGCAGACAATGAGGGAACAACTAAAT